GTGTGTGTGTGTGTGTGTGTGTGTTATTAACGTGTGGTTTATAGGGATTTAGTTAATTTGCAGACTCATCAGCAGCAGCAGCTGTTTGGATGAATGCAGCTGGTAATCCTGCACCGCTGATAGGAACAATTTAATCCTCACACTGTGAGGGAGATTACAGGGAGGTGACACTTTGACGACTTAATCCCATATTTGCTCAGTTTTGCTGTCAGCTCATGTGTTATTATGTGACTGTACTTTAGTGAACCATCATTAGGTTGTTTCATGTCTGACTCAGAGCTTCCTAAAGAAACAGAATAACTGTTTCAGCTCTGGTGTGTTCCTCTCTCTGCTCCTGAACAAACCGTCCACACTGTCCCGTCTGACCTGTGACAAACCAGCAGTGTTTCAGCTCATCCATTACACCTGTCACCTTTACAGAGGGCGGCTCCATGTCGACACTGCTGTCAACAGGGCGTCTCCATGTCAACACTGCTACAACAGGGCGGCTCCATGTCAACACTGCTGTCAACATGGAACGCCCTGTCGACACTGCTGTCAACAGGGCGGCTCCATGTCAACACTGCTGTCAACATGGACACTCCCTGTCGACACTGCTATCAACATGGACACGCCCTGTCGACACTGCTGTCAACATGGACACGCCCTGTCGACACTGCTATCAATAGGGCGTCTCCATGTCAACACTGCTGTCAACATGGACACGCCCTGTCGACACTGCTATCAACAGGGCGGCTCCATGTCAACACTGCTACAACAGGGCGGCTCCATGTCAACACTGCTGTCAACATGGAACGCCCTGTCGACACTGCTGTCAACAGGGCGGCTCCATGTCAACACTGCTGTCAACATGGACACGCCCTGTCGACACTGCTATCAACAGGGCGTCTCCATGTCAACACTGCTATCAACAGGTCGTCTCCATGTCAACACTGCTATCAACAGGGCGTCTCCATGTCAACACTGCTGTCAACATGGAACGCCCTGTCGACACTGCTGTCAACAGGGCGGCTCCATGTCAACACTGCTGTCAACATGGACACGCCCTGTCGACACTGCTATCAACAGGTCGTCTCCATGTCAACACTGCTATCAACAGGTCGTCTCCATGTCAACACTGCTATCAACAGGGCGTCTCCATGTCAACACTGCTGTCAACATGGAACGCCCTGTCGACACTGCTGTCAACAGGGCGGCTCCATGTCGACACTGCTATCAACAGGGCGGCTCCATGTCGACACTGCTGTCAACATGGACACGCCCTGTCGACACTGCTGTCAACAGGGCGGCTCCATGTCGACACTGCTCTCAACATGGAGACGCCCTGTCGACACTGCTATCAAAAGGGCATCTCCATGTCAACAATGCTGTCAACAGGGCGGCTCCATGTCAACACTGCTGTCAACAAGATGGCTCCATGTCAACAATGCTGTCAACAGGGCGTCTCCATGTCAACACTGCTGTGAACAGGGCAGGTCCAATAAATACTTCTGTTGCTGTGAATACTTCTTGTCACCAGGGGGCGCTGCAGTGGCAGTGTGGGGAAGAAGAGGCTGGGTTTGAGGCTGTGAGGAGGATATAGAAGGACTTTATTCTTTGATGGCCTCTCTACAGCTGCTGTGACATCATCAGTCTTTGTCAAACAGCAGATCTGATGTTCTTCCTGCTGAATCACAGTTAAACCTGATTGGTCAGTTTGAAACTCAGAGATCTGAAGCAGGAAGTTGTAGATGTATTGATCTGACTGGACTGATCAGGTTTTAGATGTGTTTAATAATCTGTACTGATGTGTGTTTAGTTCTGACAGCAGATGGGTTTAGTTTTAGTTTTAACTCCAACAGAAACATTATTCAACTACAGACATGAAAAAAATCCCTCCCTCCCTCAGTTTTTACTGATTAAAACATAATAAATGGATCTGGTCCTAATCAGGTCCTAAATTCATTCAAAACTAAGCTCAAGGGAACACAAACCCCCATCAGATTCCACTGTGTCATTATTATTTTAATGGCCGTAATAAAAAATGATGGAGCTGTAGATCTGGGACATGAAGGCAGACTGAGCCGGTGTCTGATGGAGCAGGTAAATCCAACAGCAGGAAGACGAGGGCTGAGAGGATCCAGGAGGCCTCCTCTCTGCTGCACACATCAGGTTTGTCACGGCAGCACATTAAGATAATTGATCTGAACACATCGGGACAGAAAGCCCTCCGGGGAGAGGAGTTTTCTTCTTCTCTCACTCTGTTAACAGCCAGTTCAAACAAAGGTTACTCTGCTGATTACTCCTCTGAGCCTCCGTGTCAAATTACCTTCTACATGTTCCTCAGCTAATTCATATCAGGTCCCGGCGCTGCGCAGGAACCTATCGTTTCTGTAATGGCTCCTCTTTGTAACGTGGAGGGCGACGCGGCGTGAAATACACACCCAGGAATTATGGGCGAGGAGCAATAATGGGAGGCCTAATGGCAACAAGTCCGCCACATCTGGAGCACCGGGGGCCGATCCGCTGAATAATTTAGTGTTGTGAAAGAGCACAGACGTGGTTCTGAATTCAGACGAGGAGGACTTGCTGAAGACCGGAGCAGACAGGAGGACCTGCTCCAACAGGTTTCCTTCAGACCTTCAGGTTCTTACACTGGTTTAGGTTCCTTTTTAAATGAGAAATTAGTTGTTTTAATTTGAAAAAAGATGATTTATTTGTTTTCTACTCAAACTTTCCAGAAGGTTTGAAGTCAGTTGGCTGTCAGAAAGTCTTCAGAGTTTTTTGGTTGTGATTTTGTCTTTTTTTCCTGCACAGATTCAGGATTCATGGTTCTGACCTACATGTTCTTTAAAAATCCTTGTTGACATCTTTTGATTCTTTTTCAGTAAAACTCTGATGTAACAATGTTTCCTCGAGAGTTTCTGCTTGAATAAATTCACTGGTCTTCAGGACAGTAGATTCACTGGATGTTTCTACTTGTTGGATCCTGACTGTCCTCAGAAAGTCCAAACTGTTAAGAACAAGTCTACAGTTCCTGAAAGACCACATCTGCTCTAACTCAGCAGCACTTTGTCTGTTAGGCCAGTCAGAACATGTTTCAGGATCAGACTAACGAAGCATCTGGAGAATTATTAGTCATTAGAGTCTTTGTCTTTGGCCCTTTGGTCTGTCTTGGTCTGAGGCTTTTCAAACCAGTTTGTATTATTTTGGGTTCAATATCAGGAAATAAGAACCCAGAGACCTTTATAAAGTCTCCTCTCATAGCTGCAGAAATCAGAGTGAAACGATTGGAAGTGATAAACTCACATTGAGCTGCAGGCTCTCCGTCCACTGACCGATTACATGGTACCCTGGCCCAGTCACGTTGTTCCACTGGTACTGGAACAGGTCGTAGCGTCCAGGAGCATCACCATTTCTGTTAAAGGTCACTGCAGTACCAGCACTTCCTGTGGAGAGAAAACAGGACAACCAGTTAAATACTCAACCAATCAGTCAATCAACCATCCAAACAACTGACCAACCAACCAACCAACCAGTCAGTCAATCAACCAACCAACCATCCAAACAACGGACCAACCAACCAACCAGTCAGTCAATCAACCAACCAACCAACCAACCATCCAAACAATGGACCAACCAACCAACCAGTCAATCAATCAATCAATCAACCAACCATCCAACCAGTCAGTCAACTAACTAACAAACCAACCAACCAACCAATGAACCAGTCAGTCAACCAACCGACCGATCGACTAGTCAGTCAGTCAGTCAGTCAACCAACCATCCATCCAACCAACCAACCAACCAACCAGTCAGTCAGTCAATCAATCAATCAACCAGCCATCCAATGAGTCAGTCAACTAACAAACAAACTAACCAACCAATCAATGAACCAGTCAGTCAGTCAACCAACCGACTGACCGACCAGTCAGTCAGTCAACCAACCATCCAACCAGTCAGTCAACTAACAAACAAACATGACCAGCCACTCGACAAACCAACCAATGAACCAACTAACTAACCAACCAATGGACCAACTAACTAAACAACCAATCGACAAACCAACCAACGGACCAACTAACTAAACGACCAACCAACCAACCAACCAACCAACCAACCAACCAACCAACCAACCAACCAACCAACTAACCAAAAACACACTAACCAACCAACTGACCAACCAACCAACTGACAAACTAACTAACCAACCAACTGACCAACCAAACAACTGACAAACTAACTAACCAACCAGATGACAACTAACTAAATGACCAACCAACCAACTAACTAACCAAAAACTAACTAACCAACCAAGTGACCAACCAACCAACTGACAAACTAACTAACCAACCAACTGACCAACCAAACAACTGACAAACTAACTAACCAACCAACTGACCAACCAAACAACTGACAAACTAACTAACCAACCAACTGACCAAACAATTGACAAACTAACTAACCAACCAACTGACCAACCAACCAACTGACAAATTAACTAACCAACCAGCTGACCAACTAACAAAAAACTAACTAACCAACCAACTGACCAACTAACCAACTGACAAACTAACTAACCAACCAACTAACCAACTAACAATTAACTAACCAACCAGCTGACCAACCGTCCGACCAGTCAACAAATCAAACAGCGTGTTTTAAATAAAGCTAAATAAACAGAAATAGTCAAAAGTACATGTTAAAGGTCCCAACACCTCCTGTCTGAAACATCCAACTACTTTCTGTGGCCCAGTATTCAGAGGGGTTCATGTGTCAGCTGAGACCACAACCTGGACTGTTCTGACCTCTGAGGGGTCCTGCAGGATTTATAATGCAGCTGATGAGGTCAGGACTGCTCTGTGAGGACCTCCTCAGCAGTAGAAGCAGAGGTTGGTTTGTGTCTGTGAGCAGTAAATCTCCAAACTGCTCTCAGATGAACACTTGGTTCCTGCTGACTGCTTTCAAACTGATGACTTCTCTCCTCACAGGTGAAGCAGAGAGAAACTAATCTGTGATGTTTACTGAGCTCTGCTGTTGGTGCTGCTCAGGGAGCCATATGCAGGTCGGATCATTTGTTCAGGATGTCAGACTGAAGCAGGGTGATGTCTTACAAAGACAACACTCAAAGAATAAAGTGAAGCAGACTGACTGCAGAACAATACAGGTGAGAACAACACAGGTGAAAACAACACAGGTGAGAACAACACAGGTGAGAACAACAGGTGAGAACAACACAGGTGAGAACAACAGGTGAGAACAACAGGCGAGAACAACAGGTGAGAACAACAGGTGAGAACAACACAGGCGAGAACAACACAGGCGAGAACAACAGGTGAGAACAATACAGGCGAGAACAACAGGTGAGAACAACACAGGTGAGAACAACACAGGCGAGAACAACAGGTGAGAACAACACAGGCGAGAACAACACAGGCGAGAACAACAGGTGAGAACAACACAGGCGAGAACAACAGGTGAGAACAACAGGTGAGAACAATACAGGCGAGAACAACAGGCGAGAACAACAGGTGAGAACAACAGGTGAGAACAACACAGGCGAGAACAACAGGTGAGAACAACACAGGCGAGAACAACAGGTGAGAACAACACAGGTGAGAACAACAGGTGAGAACAACACAGGCGAGAACAACAGGTGAGAACAACACAGGCGAGAACAACAGGTGAGAACAACACAGGTGAGAACA